TTGCAACCAGGCCACAAGTGAAGAGTATTTTTTCTCACGCAAAAAATACCTTCCAAACTAGCTTGGGAAAACATTTCCCAATATAGCACAGCCCGTGCAATTAGTGGCAGACACAAGACCGACCCCTACAGAGAATTTGTTTTTCAGCCCTGTCCTTGATGATATCTATAGTTTTAGTCAAAAAGTTGGAAAAAGAAGAAAAAGAAATGTTAGCCACCCTTGAATAATCCAGTTCCAGTGCGCTTCTCAACGCTTTAAAAAAAGCAACTAAACCCACAAGTTTTCGTCAACACCAATCACAGCAGATTCAACGTATCCAATTCAACACAAATTATAATTTCATATCAAGTCATTTAACTCAATTATTAAATCAAATAATTTATTACAATAAACAATCTCAATTTGATTGTGTGATGTAATTACATCTAATAAATTAACTATATCTAATATGGTGCACGATAAACAATCTTATTCTTCTCCATTGAAATGTCCAAATATTAAGCCTCTTTAACCTTGTCAAGTAAGGAATAATATGATGAAAACCACGTATTGAATGCATCAGGCACAACATCATGAACTGCGATCATGATTCTCCAACCCTCACGTATTAAAAAATTCGTATAATATATAATAAAAGAATATATCATCATTTATAATATATAAATAATTTTTTATTATATATTACAAAAATACTAATTCATACCAATTTATTATATCTCAATGCATGGGCTTCACAATTATTTGGATTACATATTAGCTGACATGAGCGGAGAATAATATAAATATCTTGAAATATGCTTATATGATAGTGTTATGAATCATCTTATTTTGTTTATATACCAAAAAATATAGAAATCTAACTCAATAGATAAATACTACTTTGAAAATATATAATCTCTTCTTGCATGTCAAATGTTAATATATTTTACATGAACCACTTATTAATCATCATCCCTTTAATCTCAACGATTAATATCATGTAAGTCATAAATCATGTTAAAATCATTACAGATACATTAATGCACTTCAAACTATCACTTATCTGATCATAGATCATAGTAATGTACCTTAATAATGACGAAATAATGCATTTCACTTTTAGCCATAAATCATTGCACTTTATGCGCAACTATGAAACTCTTATCATCAATTTGTCGAAGAACAATGTAAGCATCACATATTAATGCATAAAATAAATATATTAAAAATTAAAAATTTCCCATATAATTGAGGAAGGAGGTGAATTATACTTCAAATTGCTTAAACAAAGGCCCTGTGGGTGGTGCTGGTGGCGAGAAAGACTTGATGTTGCGTGTGGAGAAATGGAGAGAGGACCAATGGCGGAGATAGTTTTTTTCACGATGAAGAGGGAGATTGAGAGGTTGAGACTGCGGGTGACGTTAAGGAGGAAGGAGAAGGAAGAGGAAGAGAGAAATAAG